GGGAGTGGGGAATAGTTCACTTGATCGATGAGGGGTGGGGAATAGTTCACTTGATCGATGAGGGGTGGGGGATAGTTCACTTGATCGATGAGGGGTGGGGAATAGTTCACTTGATCGATGAGGGGTGGGGGATAGTTCACTTGATCGATGAGGGGTGGGGGATAGTTAACTTGACCGATTAGAGGTGGGGGATAGTTCACTTGACCGATTAGAGGTGGGGGATAGTTCACTTGATCGATGAGGGGTGGGGAATAGTTCACTTGGTCGATGAGGGGGTGGGGAATAGTTCACTTGATCGATGAGGGGTGGGGGATAGTTCACTTGATCGATGAGGGGTGGGGGATAGTTCACTTGATCGATGAGGGGTGGGGGAATAGTTCACTTGATCGATGAGGGGTGGGGAATAGTTCACTTGATCGATGAGGGGTGGGGGATAGTTCACTTGATCGATGAGGGGTGGGGGATAGTTCACTTGATCGATGAGGGGTGGGGATAGTTCACTTGATCGATGAGGGGTGGGGAATAGTTCACTTGATCGATGAGGGGTGGGGGATAGTTCACTTGATCGATGAGGGGTGGGGGATAGTTCACTTGATCGATGAGGGGTGGGGGATAGTTCACTTGATCGATGAGGGGTGGGGGATAGTTCACTTGATCGATGAGGGGTGGGGGAATAGTTCACTTGACCGATTAGAGGTGGGGGATAGTTCACTTGATCGATGAGGGGTGGGGAATAGTTCACTTGGTCGATGAGGGGTGGGGAATAGTTCACTTGATCGATGAGGGGTGGGGGGATAGTTCACTTGATCGATGAGGGGTGGGGGATAGTTCACTTGATCGATGAGGGGTGGGGAATAGTTCACTTGATCGATGAGGGGTGGGGGATAGTTCACTTGATCGACGAGGGGGTGGGGGAATAGTTCACTTGATCGATGAGGGGTGGGGAATAGTTCACTTGATCGATGAGGGGTGGGGAACAGTTCACTTGATCGATGAGGGGTGGGGAATAGATCACTTGATCGATGAGGGGTGGGGAACAGTTCACTTGATCGATGAGGGGTGGGGGATAGTTAACTTGACCGATTAGAGGTGGGGGATAGTTCACTTGGTCGATGAGGGGTGGGGGATAGTTCACTTGATCGACGAGGGGTGGGGAATAGTTCACTTGATCGATGAGGGGTGGGGAACAGTTCACTTGATCGATGAGGGGTGGGGGATAGTTAACTTGACCGATTAGAGGTGGGGGATAGTTCACTTGGTCGATTAGAGGTGGGGGATAGTTCACTTGATCGACGAGGGGTGGGGAATAGTTCACTTGATCGATGAGGGGTGGGGAATAGTTCACTTGATCGATGAGGGGTGGGGAACAGTTCACTTGATCGATGAGGGGTGGGGAATAGATCACTTGATCGATGAGGGGTGGGGAACAGTTCACTTGATCGATGAGGGGTGGGGGATAGTTAACTTGACCGATTAGAGGTGGGGGATAGTTCACTTGGTCGATGAGGGGTGGGGGATAGTTCACTTGGACAATGATGGGGCCGGGGTTGGGGGAAATTGTTCACATGGGCCCTCAATTGATTTGCCCATCTTCTGGAATCAAATCCTCCCGGTCATCAGTGATTGGCCCGGAGTGGTACTCGTCAGGGGGGAGTGTAGTTGCATTGAAGTTGGCGCTGTTCAGTTTGTTTTCATCTGCAATATCAACCGATTTGCTTGCTCCGGAGCAGTAGACATGGAGTCCAGGAAGAGTCTCTCCCGAAGAAGCTTTCGATCTGTTAACAGTTCAGTGGTTTCTATAGAGAAACAGTTTTGTAAATTTCCCTACTTTTTGGCAGGTTATTTTTGTTTTGACCGACACTAGTAAACAACTTTATCTATAAACCAACTCGCAACTAATCATTTTTACTATTCAGGATAACAGAATTGTCTGTTACTTTTTGGCTTCATCAAACATTTGGATGCGTTTATAAGCTTTGATTTTTCTGACCAATAACTTTTACCGTATTCATCGGTTTCTCATTAGGTGGTACAAAATATCCAAACCATGTTTTTTTCCTGAGAATTTAAGTTAGTTCTATAGAAATCATTTAGAAAAAAATGCGTGAAAACTTATTTCAGATGCTTTATTGATCAATTTCTGACCGCGCAATCTACGTTGAAATCAAACACTTTTTGATACAAAACAAACCTGCTTGTATAAAAGGGCGAAGCACTGAATGTTCTGATTGCATTTTAAAGCCAATTTAAAAAAAAATGGTTGATAAACTGATACAAACAATAAACAAGGATAACCGGTTACTGTGCACGTACCACAGAATGTTTCGACCACAGCTCTTAAAAAAAAATTTTTTTCAAATTGGTGTCGTGATAAAAAGAATCTGCAGAAAAAAAATAGAATAGTAGAGAGTTAAAGTAGGATAAGTCAATTGGAAAACATTTTTTGAAAAAAAAAGTACTAGTAAAACAAAAAAAACTTATAGAGTTTGAAAAAGTTTCCAACAATTTTTTATTTTTTTTTGAGAAGTTTTTTTAAATATCAAGTTTTTGATTCTCAAAGTTGCGCTGAAAAAATAACCTTTATTTGAGTAAAACTAAATTTTAACGGCTTTAATCAAGCTTAAATAATCTATTGAAAGCCTACACGGTCACCTTATTAGATCGAAATTAGACATAATCAAAAATTTTAAACCGGTTTTTCTCAATATTGTGAAAAAATTTTCAAAAATTTTTCAAAGGACGTTCGAATCACAACTAAAACGTCTTCAAAATGATATAACACTCCACCCAGACTAAAAATTGTTTGTGGCACCTGATTTTGCCTGGAAAACAAAAAAAAACTAAAACACACTCGAACACAAAATTATTCCCCATTTTCAATGGTCGGAACAACAATTGCAAAAACTTGTTGCCGGTCGCTTTACCTAAGAACCAGTCGCTAAGTTCTTTTCTCTGTCATTTTTAACAGAAGAACCTTGGATCCTAGACAAGAGTTTTGTCACAAGTTTTGAAGCTTCCAAAGTATAAAAAAAAATAGCGCCGCTGTATCAGTGGTACGGATTTCGATTGTAAAAAAAATTGCCTAAGAAATTTCAGGTGTTAGCAATAAACTGTTCAGCTGAAATTATGGATACAATTAAATTCTGATAATAAGAGGATCAAATTATACTTTTTAATTGTATCACATTAATATTTTTTTTGTTCTTCAGAATTCAAAGTGATAAAATGTCAACCGATGCTTGATGAAAGTATTTTGAAGCATCGTATCTATTTACTATTAGCTTTCGTCAGTTTCTGTTTTACTTGAGGAAACAAATTGTTTTTAAAAGTTTTTGAGAAAAAAATCGGGCAGCTATTTTTTTGATCAGCATCCATGGACGCTATGTAGATTCAATGCAATTACTTCGATACCAAAATGGAACTGCTCTTAAGAAAATTGCTGATAAATCCGACTGCGTTTTACGGCTGATTTAAAAATTTTGATTGAAAAACTGACAAAACAAAAAAAATAAAGAAGTTCTTTATCTCACCTTTTTTCTTCATTTTACCCCCCAGCCTCCCCCACCCCCACGCACGCACACACACACACACACACACATCCGCTTCGTCATGTGCAACTGGATGTTTTTAGCGTCTCTTATTTTTGTTGAAGAACGTAAGAGTTGCTCCAATTCAATTTGGACTAATTTCATCTGCCGCTTATTCGTGTTAAAATGAGTTAATTTATGACACCTTACTAATACCAAATTGGCCAAGTTAGCTTTTTTGAACATCTGTACCTTTAAGAAAACAGATCACAGGAAAAATCTGTTTCTAATGTGAGCTTCGGACATCAATATCCTTCAGGTGGTGACTTCGACAAAAACGATAAGTTAAAAAGTCGAAACCCGGGTCGAGGTCCGCGACTTACGTTGCGATCGAAATGGGTCCCGGAAAGGACTTTCTGCGACCGAAATTCCATCATCCCGAAAGAGGCCTGAGTCGCACAAAGTCGCAACTTATCTTTATTGGGTCGCGCAAAGTCGCGCAATTATTTCGGTCGCACAACGTCGCAACATACTCATTTTGAGTCGCAATGGTCGTAACATACCTTATTTGGGTCGCGCAAAGTCGCAACGTATCTTTTTTGGGTCGCGCAAAGTCGCATAAAACTTCTTCGGTCGCGCAAAGTCGCAACATACCCATTTTGAGTCGCAATGGTTGTAGCATACCTGATTTGGGTCGCAATGGTTGCACAAACCCATTTTGAGTCGCATTGGTCGCAACATAAGTCCCCAACCTCGACCCGGAAACTGGGCTGAATAAAAAACACTCCTCATGACAAAGCCAAACTGTAACTTCTGAGAGTTTTAAGTGGAATTTGCAAGCAGGCAGCAGTCTTTGACCTCTTTTTGGCTGTTGTGTTTGCTGTGGTTGTGCAGACAAATTTTAATTAGTTCAAGAACTTGATTTTGATTTCCGGGAGCTTACACGCACCGAACGGCGAACGGTACAATCGTAATGTAAGCGTTAAAAAAATCGAACATAGTAGTATGGGATAAATTTGCACCTACCTGCTTATCCTATTGAATTATATTACCCGTTTTTCCTTTGACATCCTCTTATTGGTCAATTTCGATTTATTGTTAGCCAGTTTTGCCTTATAAACGGAAATTGCATCTATAGAAAACGTAGAAAAGTTTCGGTTTTGAAAAAAAAAACAGTTAGATTTCTACGACACGGAAAAGGTTTATTCTAGACCTTCCGTATTCATACTTCTTAAAGAGTTAGTGTTCATGCATCTTGATGAACAAACACTATAAAAATACGGCTATACAGCCCACCTACTACCTTTTTCACGTAAGTTTTTGCTCCAATTTCCCAAACAAGAAGAAACTGATTAGAGCATGACAAATTTATTTGGTCTCGATGCTTAACCCTAAAAAACACCTCGCTACACCATTAAAATTGATGCTCATGTGAAGTGGAAAGAAAGGGAGGGCGGGATAATCAGAAAAGAGACAAAAACAGCCAAAAATTATCTAATCGAGCTGCAAGCTAGCATATGGTTAACTTTTTTATCGGCTTCATTGTCTGGGCAAATGTTTCAAGATAAAGATAAAATCTGCTGAATAAAGGGACAATTGGCCAGTGGCTTTGACTGTCTAACCGCAATCGATAACTAAAAATAAAAAAAAAACAAATCAAGCAAATCATTGAATAAAAACTATGATTTATAACAATCAAATAGTTGCTTTTTGATGCAAAAAAAAAACAAGCTGACATGAGAATTTTGATTTATTTTTCCGAACTTCGAAGAAAGTGCTGAATATTTACGCTTCGATTGATTTTTTTGGTATGATTAATGCGCGATAAATAGCGTTTTTAAATAACGCTCAAGCGGCAAATAAATGCGTCCCAAATTGAATAAAGGCAAAACAATAGGTTCGATTGGAACAAAAGAGACTCTCAACACACCCTAGAAAATTTACATAGCTTATGGGGGATAAAAACAAAGAAAATTTTTTATTTTTTTTCTAAAAATTTCATCTTTTTTTCAGGTAAAGCACCTTGAAAATGGCCTCTAAGTGCAGTCGCAACGTTCATCAGTTCGCTCTGATTTACAAGAAGTTTAGTTTCGTCAACGCTTCTTCATACGGTACTGAAAATAGAAAAAAAAATAAAAAATCATAACTTTAGCTATAAAGGTTTTTAAATACCAACTTCTGGTATGAGCATGTGGTGAAAAATAAAAAAAAACTTAAATTTGACTGATAAAAATATTTGCGCATCATACCGACGAGTCTCGCTGGGGCTGTCTCTCTAAGTAAGATGCGAGCTCAAATTTTGTTTTCATGCCGGTTTTTGTTCTTCGAAATCAGCTAACCCAGTGATTGTACAATTTAGAACAACCTTTTCTATCGTGCGTTAAACACTTACTGAGGTAATCATTTCTACTATAGGTTTTTGCTTACTGCAACACACTGCCGGAGATCTTTTTTTTTGCTTGATCAGCTTGCTCATTTTTTGATGTGGAACTTTATCAGGAGACTAAAATTTTGTCAAACAAATGCGCAGTGCTGGTCCTTTGTTTCAAAAATTAAGTTCATTTTATGGGTCGAAAACATTCGGAAATTTTTTTTACCACTCTAGAGCAACACTTTCAGATATAAAACTAAAGAAGTCTGGTTTCAGTTTCCAAACTTTCTTATCTTTTTGTTGATTTTTTGGGGTGAGAGGAAAAAAAAAGCCAAAAGTAAACTATTCGATTGGCAAGCTTAGTATGAGACTAATATTTTCTCATCTTGAAAATTTCGCCGGTATCGAAAAGTTATGCTAGATAAGTTGACAAGCGGTCAGTGAGATTTGTTTGTCTCAACGCAATTTTTAACTCAAAATCATCGAAAAATAAGTTCATTGGATATCTTGAAAACCAACTTGAGATTTTTGAGTTACTATTCCGACTTCCAAAGAAAGTGCAAAAAGTCTATGCTTCAATTAATTTTTTCGTTCTATCAATTTTCGACTTTTTAACACTGCGTTTTTAACAGTACTTTTTTATATCTTATAGAAGATACTGCTGGCTTGAGCTCAAATGTAAAAAAAAACATATTTTACCTGTGATTTTTCGTTAAGTTAAAAATGGCTTGAAAATTGCTGATTTGGTTAATTTAAATAAACTTAATTCGCGATACCTTGCGTTCTTATAGCACGCGTAAGCGGCAAACTAATACATTCCAAAAAACATTGAGGCTTGCAGTTTGCCCTGTTGAAAACAATACGAGAAGCTAAACACCAAAAACTTTCATGATAAAAGTATTTGCGCATCACACCATTGAATGCTGCTCACGTTTTTTTCCCTAAGATGGATTCGAACCCATATCAACCTAATTTTCAGGTCTTTTTTTCAAGTCAACAAAACAGTGTTTGTATATTTGAAAAACATAATGCTTTGTGTCGTACTTAAAAATTATGAAAAACAATCATAGTATAGGTTTTGCTATTTGAAAAACACTGGCGGATATCTTTTTTGAGTTGATTAACTTGCTCATTTTATTATTTGGAATTTTACAAGGATACTAAAGAAAATCTAATAATAAGAAATAGCCAGTGCCGGAACTTTGCTTCGAATATGCTGTTCGACTTCTGTTGAAATTATCCGGAAGGATTTTTGGCCTTTCTAGTGGAAGTCTTTCAGGAGACTAAGAAAGCTGTGTTCAATTTTCAAATTTTATTTTCTTCTTGCAGAGCGACGCTGCCCTATCAAAACTTTTGGTCCACTTGTTTATCTTCGCTGGCAAAACGGAATTATGAGCTGGATAAAAAAGTAACTCGCGCATAGCTCTCGATTAGTTTGGAATGTTATAATTAAAGTGCCCCTGCCCCTAATTTTTTTCATTCGCATATTCATTTATTGCTATCTTTATTTCACTCGAAGTTATATTTTGCTGATGCTAACTTAAGCGTTGATTACTCTTTTCGAAGTTAAAAGATTTATCTCTGCGTGTAATACAGGATAGATTGTTTTACAGATATCTGGAACAGATACTCACAACTTGCAACCAATTTTTTGTTGATAGTTGTTTCGCTTAACATCAAATTGAAAACTTTTGATATGTAAAATAAAATAATATTAGTGCTGCAAATTTTTAGAGTTAGCTATAATCTTACCTAGACGCTTTGATTTTTCTCTCGACGAGGAGAAGGATGACTACTACACTGAGAGTGACTCCAATGCAGCAAGCAACCAAAAGCCAGTAGTTGATTTTGCTTTCGTTTTCTTCTTCGTTGTTTGACGGCGCATATGAACTGATTCCACTCCCAGTTTCGCCCGAATAATCCTCAGCATGTGTCAGATAATCTGTTTCTGCAACTTCAGCTAAAATAAATGTGATATATTCGGACAGGGGCGGATCTAGGACTTTCTCGAGGGGGGCGGCGGATTTTCAAAAAATTTTCCAAAATTTTGACGACCTTTTTTTTAGGTCGACCAAATTGATTTTTCGAGCTCTCCCAAAGCACTGTTTTGCCCCTATATTGGCAAAATTTTGTGCGCCGCAGGCAAATTTTTGAAAAAACAGTCAAAAAAGCCGTTTATGGGCACTTTTTGAAAAATTATGACAAAAAAATCGCTTTTTTTTGGCGCGCGCTCCCCCTCAAAGTTAGTATATATTGGCGCCAAAGGCGCCTTTAGAAAAACTTTCGGGTCGGTCGGTCATAAATGGATTTCTGAAAAAGTATCAAAGGGGGGACCCTTTGGGTCGGCAGGGGGTCGAATCCCTGAGGGGGTGGGGGCGTCCGCAAGCCCCCCCCCCCCCCTAAATCCTCCCCTGTATTCGGATCTTGGTAACTATGCCTGTCAAAGAAATGGCAAAAGAGTTGTTCATCTGCGCAAAGTGCAGAAAATCCACGTATGCATAGTGTAGTGAAAGCGTTAGAGAGATCTAACCAAACGGTTTCGAAATTCGATGATGTTCTTATTGGTGTGGCAAGTAATAAATTGAGAATTATAAAGCATAAAAAATGTCATTTCAACTTCAATCAATTGTACAGGCCAATGACATTTTATTAAAAAGTTCAAAATTTACGTTTAATTTGTCAAAAATTTGGCTTTGTTTTAAAACATATATGCTGTTCGAAGTATACTAAAGATTGACCCAGCTAATAAACTTGAATCTGCCACCAAAAGTGATATATCACCCAATATTCTACGCCTTGTCATAACGTCCTGAAACGGAGTGGAATTTACAAAACCAAGCTGTATTTTTTTCAACAAAAATTATCAAACAAGTGGGAAAGCTGCTTCAGCAACATTCTCCTGGGACACAAGTTGAGCTAAGGTCGAGAAATAAGAATCGTGAGCTTGCGTCCAGGGTTGCTTTCTCATAATGTAACCTTTTTTTCGACCGGATAGATTCGTGCAACTTCCTAGTCTAAAACCAATCCTAATCTTACCCTTATATCTCCGAATCCCAATAGATCTAGTGTATACTGTTATTGTCGCAACGTTTAGAATCAAGAACTGAGCTTATGAAGAGCAACAGTTTACTAAGTTAATTAAGTCTTCTCTGGCAGAAACTATATTTATTGTAAGTTTTAGTCATGGATAATGATTGGTTAGATTTAGGTATTTTACCAAGATAATCATCAAGATTATAATAAGATATTACAAACACTTGTTTTGAGCTGGTTCCACCCATCTGGGGTTTGGAAAGTTTAAAAGTTTTAAGTTTGTTCTTATGAAGGATGGATGGAGAAGTTTCTTTATTTGTTCTTTGAGTATATTTTGTGAAGTAGTGAAGGAGTGAAGAGAGAAGAGAATCAGTAACTTGTGTGAAGAGATTGAGTCAAGATTGCAGAATAACATGGTGACGAGTCGACTCCGTCGAGTAGATTGAGATTACGTGCATCCTCAACTATTCATCGAATAGTGAGATAGGGATTGACTCCTCTGTGTTAAGATCAATAGTTCAGGATTAGTATTTTTGAGTTTAATATCGAGTAGGCTATTGTTCTCAATCAATGGGTACTTTGAGTCCATACTTTTTTTCTGTGAGGGTTGTGACTACTGCAGAAAACCAATAGATTTGCCATTCCAGAATCGAATTGTCATCTCCCTTTGCTGCTCGAAGTTTCATCTCCCTTTGCTGCTCGTTCCTTTTGCTGTGCGAAACTATTTTACATTATATCTGCACCTCGTTAGTGAATTCAATTTCAGTTATTTTTCCTCTTTTTTTTCGCGAGAGCATTTTTCGTAGTTTGTTTATTTTCAAGAGTTGCTCACCCTAAAGCTGCTCTCAAGAAAAAAGTCAATGTGTCATAAGCGTCGTGTAGAAGGGTGGATGAGGCCGGCTATAGAAAATGCTCAGGACGTTCTATACTGGTGGGTTAAGCCCCCCCGTTTTATTTTTTGTTGTTTTTTACCAGGTGTTTTTTTCTTTTGTTCTTTGGTTGTGTCCTTTTTTTCAAAAGCGGATTGCTTTGGTTCAAGTAGTTCTTTCAGTGTTTGTATGTTTTAAGTGGTCTCAAAAAAACTTCGCAATGGATTTTAAAAAAAATAATTTAACCAGTTTCAATCTCGGTTTAATCTCGTTCGGGTACCAGAAGACTTTGTCATACATGCGGTTGGTTTTGTGGTGTCAGTAAGCTAATTGGTTAGTTCAAGCTTAGCTGTAATTCCTTCTAACTGGCTTAAGGTAAAGTTTTAAAACCCTTGAAACTAAGTTAAAGTTGTAATCAGTTAGTTTGTCAACTAGAAGATCGTTTCTAAAACAATTCTACAGGGGCGGAATAGTCAACTTGTGTGGAAAGAGAGCGTAAAGAAAGTGGGCGAGTCGAATATAAAGTCAAAATCTATAAAAATGAGCTTGCATAAAACGATTAGTGATCGTGATTCATTACTCATTATTAATTTAATATTTCGTACTTTATTTATTGCTGATATTTTTAATATTTCATTGCTGATTATTGATTTTTTTTCACCTAAATATTTAAATGAGTTTTGAGTTTTTATTTCAGTTTTTCTCTTATATTTTCAGAGAACTGACTGGTTAAATTTAAAAAGAAATGATGAAACACACTCGTTCTTATGGTGAGTAAAGTTTTGATTTAAAATTGGTAATTTTTTCAATTCATACTTACTAAGGATCGGTTTTCGAAAAAAAAATCTATGGGAAAAATTAGTCTTAAAAATGGGTGAGTGTAATAAGGGTTTAGCTAGCGTTCGAATTACGTTTTTAGTTCGTAAAAGGGGCCAAAGAAGGTAGAGTTCTCGGATGATGTGTAATTGCGGAAGCTCGCGGTTAGAGTACTGGAATGAATGATGTAGCTTGTGATTGAACTTTAAAATGAAGATATTTTCCAAACCGGCAGTTTTTACTGGTTGAATAAACTGATGGGGGATAAAAATGGGGCGAGATTTTACAAGTGGGATACTATTAGTGGGGGGCAAAATATAAATATTTGTCTAACGGGATCATAGTTGCCAAAGGTGCCGTGAAGTTTATTTGTTTTTATGCAATAAGTGAACTTAAGGAAGTATGGTGACGTTTAATATCCCCTTTTTTGGTATAATTAAATCAAATTTTAGTTGAAAGTGGTCGAATTTGCTAAAGTTTGATTCATAAGATATGTGTTCTGCAGTGCATGGTCAATTAAATGATCAAGCTTTTTTTTAGTGCTGTCGAGGTCGATGACGTAATCAAATTTAATGAAAAAACTTTCTAATACTTGTTAGTTCACTACAGGGTCAGTATCATACGGTCAGTCTCCCTTTTGTCGGATAACTGTGCGATCATAGTGACTTATGGAAAACTGGTTAGCTTTTCGTGCAATGACGCGGTTAAAAGTTTGTGTTAAGCCAATGGTAGAGAATTGATTCAAGTGTACTGCAGTGTTTACTTGGTGACTGATTGTGTCACAAAGTTCATCGTCGTCGGCGTTTTTTCTTGATAATACTTTCAGTGGTTTAGTGAAATTATTATAAAAAATCCAAGAAAGGGCGGGTAGAAGGTAAGTTCATCTTCGTATTGGGCTCATTGGGCTTGGTTCTCTAGGTTGTAAAATTTGTTCTGGATGACAACGGGAAAGTTTTCAACTTGAAATGTTGATGTCTTAGTATGAGGTGGAAAATGATTTCGAAGGAGTTCAGAAGATGATGAGCCATTAGTTGAAATTCGTGTTGGTTTGTTTGGATACTTGCATTTCATAAGAAAACGCTGTGCGCGTGTGGGAGTAATATGGAGAGATGTTATGGATGATTCGGAGGTCAAAGCGGAGTGGGTCAATTGATGAATGCTTAGTAGCTTACTAGTGTTATGAATTAGTTTTTGATTCTTAATGAACTCATCAAGCTCATGCTGAAGCTGGTCATAATTGATGGGTCTAGGAACGTCGGCTGCATTACTGAAAAGAGGAAAAAGAATAGGAGTAGCGTCAGTGTGGGGTGAAATAGAAGGGGAACTTACGACAGGGGTGGGGGAGTAATTGGTTGGAAAGGTTGATGTGAAAAGTTAATGGAACTTAAGTGGGATTCTAAAAAACCATCGGGTGTGTCAACTGGCGGGTCATTGAAGTTGGAGTTAGTTCTAAATACAGTTTCGGTTGAGTCGTCAGAATCCATGTTTAGATAAAAAAACTGGGAAAGAAAAAATGTAGGGGGAAGAGGTGACGTGTGACGTCTGAGATTAATATAAGAGAGTTATGTTGCTGGAGATTGGTTGTATAGGAAAGTGAACAGTTGACGGATCCAATTTGACGGCTCATCAAGAGCTAAAAAATGGATATTTTGAGAACAAAAATTTATTTTCTGTGGTTGTTCTATTTTTTATTTGTACTTTTTATTGGTGTTCCGTGGCTGAAATGCTATGTGGAAGATGGAGTTTTGTTGTAGGCTGTTGTTTTGGTGCATGCGCTGTGCCGCTGAAAGTGCATTTCCATAGATTTGTGGTTTTATTTGTTGGGGTGGTGGTTTGGTAACTTGTGTAATTGACTAATTTTTTGGTTTTTTCTGTAATATTGACTCTTTTTAGAGGTTTCAATCCATTTTTACAGTCTTCAGGATTAAGTTGTAGTAATCGTTCGATTTTACTATGATTGTATGATTCACGATTGAATTTGTTTTTATTTCCATTAGAAAATTGAGAACAAGGTACTTTCTTTCTTGATAATTTTCACTGAATTTATAACCTGCGCGAGTAGTAGTCCGGGTTTTGGAGTAAACGATTGCAACAAAAAATGTTGATTATTTTCTGTGTGGCTCAGATTCATTTTGTGTGACCTGGTTAATTGCATAATTGTGTATTATTTCTTGTTGGTTATCTTCACAATCGTAATGGGTGACGAGATCTTGTGGCCCTGTTCGGGGTGAGGGATTACTGT